CCCTACAGTTATCTTCAGTTCCTACCCTCCTTCATGCTTTTCATCATTTGCAAACGGTGATATAAACAAGCTCACTTTCTCTGCCAGGTCATTTACATAAATAAGAAAAGCAATGACCCTAGGACAAAGCCCTATGAACACCACTTTCCACTCCTCTCCAGCTTGACATATCTCTATAGTTATGACCCTTAGTTTTCTGTCCATCAAGTCTTCCATACCCAGTTCAGTGCCCTTCCTGTTGCCCCTGCTTGTCTCTCCATCTTGTGTACAAGTCTTCTGTGAGGAAACTATCATTAAGGGACCAGATGACTGAGGAGTATTTTTTTAAATATTAAAAATAGTGGAAAATGTTAAACAAATCTCCCTTTATTTGGCATCAGTGTGGTGAAAATTTCATCCCAATATGTTAGGAAATGGATTTTTTACAATTTTTTTTTTAAATAAATGCATGCACGACGGGCGGCAACTGGTACTGATACAAACGACAACACCTCCCATTTACTGGCAATAAGGGATAGAGAGATGCAAGCACCTGTCTGATGAACAAATCCACAAGGACCGTGACGAGGATTCGAACCTGCGTCCGAGAGCATCCCAGACCCTGCCTTAATCGACTGAGCTACGACATGGTAAAAGGAGTTGAAGTCTGATGCACAAAGAAGATAAGTAGTAGTAAGGAGGGTCTAAAAAGTTGATATGCAACTGGTGCCACCTAGAGGGTCAGATTTCACACATAATGAAGGAATATGTTATGCTGTATTTTATTATATATCATATAAAGAAGGTAGTACCACCTCTGGCTGGAAGAAGGGGACCCTTGGCCTCAGAGGGAACCACACAACGCATTAGAGGGAATGTTTAGGTCCCCTCCAGTACGGTTTCAGTGTGCTTTTCTCCTACCACCCCTTTCCTTTTTTTTGTGCTTTATTATGTATTTGATGGTTACAAGATAATTCATATTCATATAAATATATTGCCCAATGGCAATATTTCTTATGTCTCTTTGTACAAAAAGCTGACAATCACTTTCTTATCTCTCTCCTTTGTTTCTATGTGGATTTTGTTGTGACCTCTACATCTTTGAGAATGCATATCCAACACTAAGTAAGCATGTGAAGTTTGAACGAAATTGGTCAACATGTTAATCAGCCACAGGTGGCAGAATCTGTGACTGATTTTTCTTGGACAATTTATTTACAGATTTCAAACTCTATTCTCTTTGTCTTTTTAGGTTATATGAGGTCCAGATGACCGGCTCCCCCCTACCCATTACACATGAGATGGTAGAGCTACCAGAAATCTGGAAAAAGGCAAATGTTGTTCCTATATTCAAGAAAGGGGGGACAGACACGAATAACTAAACAATAGACAAGTGTCTTTAACTTACATACCATGTTATGACCATAGTCATTGTCAATAACTTGAACTTCAAATATCTCTAAAACAGGAATTTCAACTTTGAGACAGCTTCAATAATTCAGTTTCTGAGCAATTCTCACTCTTTTTTACATATGTGCATAGTTCTTAGTTCTAAGGTGTCCTCTGAGTCGTTTAGTCATAAAGTCATAACGTTTGGAGTTATAAATATTTAGCATATAAATTTGGCACATATTTGGATGGCCACATTGAAAAAATATTTTACAGTAAACTGCACTCTCAAACAATATTTTTCTGTGAGGAACATGCATGTTATATGCTCTTCTGAGACCCTAATGAATAAAACAACAACTGGGGACATTTTAATATTTTTTAAACTACTGTAATTTGAAATTGTAAATGTTATTAATTTTTTTTTTTTTTACTTCTGTTCATGATATGAAGCTGATCCATTAAGATCATAGAACTCAATGAAGTTCGTTAAGCATGATTTTTCCTCTCTGAAGCTGTTTTGTGTCTATGTAATAAAATTTACTCACCCAAAATATTCTACAATCCTTTTTCTGATTACTTTTTTAAGAATCTAACATGGTATGTAAGTTAAAGACACTTGTCTATTGTTTAGTTATTCGTGTCTGTCCCCCCTTTCTTGAATATAGGAACAACATTTGCCTTTTTCCAGATTTCTGGTAGCTCTACCATCTCATGTGTAATGGGTAACACAAGATCTTTGCAGCTTCCTTCTGTAACAATGATTATATTTTAAATGGCCATATTGCTTTTTGGCCAGTTCCTCCAGGTGTCCTTTTACCACTTATACATTACCATCAACTGTCTGATGCTGTTTCTGGCAGTCTGTTTTCAACCCAACTTGGACACCTTGAGGTTATCTTGAGGTTATCTTGAGATGATTTCGGGGCTTTAGTGTCCCCGCGGCCCGGTCCTCGACCAGGCCTCCACCCCCAGAAAGCAGCCTGTGACAGCTGACTAACATACAGGTACCTATTTAACTGCTAGGTAACATGGGCATAGGGTGAAAGAAACTCTGCCCATTGTTTCTCGCCGGCGCCTGGGATCGAACCCAGGACCACAGGATCATAAGTCCAGCGTGCTGTCAGCTTGGCCGACCGGCTCACCAAACTAGTTCTGGGGATGAAGATCTCCTACAACCTCTTGAGCCCTGCATACACCGTGATTCTCCAAGAATGTTTCTCCCTGCTTGATACCTGCTGGGTGGGGTTCTAGGAGTTTTTCCTACTCCCCAAGTCCGGCCTGAGGTCAGGCTTGACTGGCCCCTGTCCCCATAGTCTAGTCACATGGTCTTATACTGTTGTTTTTGTCCACATGCAGCTGTACAACAACTTAGGTTGGTTTGAGGAAGATGTATAGCCTCATGTTGTGGCATTTGTGCAATTAAAGTGAGAACTGCTTCACCACCAAGTAGTTTGTGAATCTCTGGCCTTCGCTGGTCCATTTTCTATTGTTTGTTTACTGTCCTGTAACATGTTTCCACTTGCCCTTCCTCTCTGGTGGCCTTTTCATGGTCAGGATGATCTAAGATCCTCTGCTCTTTGCATCTTTAGAGGAAGGGGGGGGGGGGGGGGGGGGCCAGGTTTTGGCTTCTGGTCCTAGTAGGCCTAGTAGTAGGATATGTATCACAAGGGCCTGGCATGGATAAAATTGGGTGGAGTTTGCAAGGCAGTAAGCACCAATGAGCCAGTACAGAAGCCCTCCCCAATTGTTTAAATGTCATTTTTTTAATATATAATTAAAGCTTTGTATTTCTACTCTTTCCAATGGCTTCTAAATAGATTATTAACTGGCATTACCAAATTTACAGGTGCATTGAGAAAATCATTTGGCTCCACTCTTCTTATAAGAAATTAGGTTAATGGAACTATTGATATAAATATCAAAATTCATCAAGTTTAAATATACATTCATAAGTAAAAGATTTAACCACCTTTGTTGCTGGAGGCGGCAGAGTGGAAAGAGAACCACCTACTTTTCTATCCCAACCTCATGCATCAATTTGTAGCTTAATTGGTGACCAAATAGTCTGAAAGGTCTATTGTTTTTATTATTTATTATGTATAAAAAAGTGAATGACCTTTTATCTTGTCACTAATTCAAGATAAAAGGTCAATCCAAAAAGAACTTATCTCTCTGATATGACTTAGGATTTTGTAATCTGGGTTGCTCGTATTGCTTGTCGAGAACAACAAATCTGCAAAGTTAGAAGAAAATCAATATCATTGATATCAGTTTGTTCACTTGATGCAGAAAGTACGGTACTGACAAATAATGTGTGTGCTTACCTATCAGTGACTTGGAAGTGAACTACAGCTTTATGCCACACTACCTTGTTTTTTGTACCTAGTGCAGTTTTAAGCTCATCTTTTAGTATGTACTTATATAACAATGCTTGTAAATAGGCAGTAATATCTGCTACAACTCTAGCATTTCGGGATTTTTGCTTGCCAACTTGTGCCAATGAGGAGGGCATATGGGTATGCCCTCCCTACTGCATTTATTCCTCCCAATATTATCATATTATCGGAATTTCATCCTGAAGACACAAATGAAGATATTTTCCTCCACCTCTGATAAATCATTTCATTTGCTTACAACCTACATTGTAGTATAATTTTTTCTTAACCTTCTACAACAAAATTGTTTTTCCAGATTCCACATGTACCCCTTACTCTATCTCCTTCCAAATAGACTGTCAAATAGACTGTCCCTATTCATATCAGCTTTCCCCTAAATATTGTGTATAGTGATAATATTGCCTATAGTCTTCCTCAGTTATGTACCTACCTACCCTACCAGACCCCCCTACCTTTCTATTTTTCTAACTTAGCCATTTTATTTGACACCAGTCCTTAAGCACATCTAAAAAATTTCACAAATTTTTGGCACTGCACAAGGATGGTATTCTACACCACTGTTTGATACCGAAAGATGGCCAGACATATATGTTCAGCGCTATTCAGTTTGTGCGCGCCTCTAGAAATAGTCGGCAAGATATTTTTGCCACGATTCTTCTCTTTTCTTAATTATTTTAACTGCCTCTTTCTTATATTCTATTTATTGTTTTGTACAGTATTGGTATTAGGGTTTGCTTTTGGAGAGAGCTCACATGAATAAATGAACCACAAAAGGTATGTTGATACCTTTTGTTTACAAATGGTTATTTCATTAAATACATATAAAGAAATGTAAAAATGAAGATGTGGAAATGGGGAATCTGAAGAAATAATGAATAATAGTGTTAGGATCCTTTAGGAAGAAGTGGAAAGAGAAAAATGGCTAGGGAAGTAATCCATGTTCAGCTTGACAAGCTACCGCAATTTACCATTACTCCTGGACTTTGGCACACTCATTCATATTTGTACCTCCTTCACCCAAACTAATCCTCCATTCATTCACCCATCCTCTCTATTTATAAAGCAGATCCAACAAAAGAACACGGTTTCAACACCAAACTGCTTTCGTTCCTTAAACTTCACTGCCAGCACAATAAACCTAAAATCACCATCTCGGTATAAAATACATCACACCTTACACTCGACTGCCCACCCACAATTCCTCTTCAAATCGTGCATGCGTAACACTCTCACCTGTTGCCAGTTGCCTTTGAGTAATTCACAACCAATACCACGCATAAAGACGCAGTTGTTGCCAAATGGTTGTGTGCCATAGTAATTGATAAACCCTTTAGTCTTCAATGACTCAACAGCTTCAAGTATCTCCTCATCTGTTCCATCAACTTCCCTGTTAAAAAGAATACCAGACCATATTAGATATTTCCTTTCATTTCATAATGCTTCACATATCCTGCACATCATTGTAGGAGCTGTTAAACAGCGAAGTTCGGATTTATTTTCACATACACATTCAGCCACCCATCGCAAGAAAACAATAGCAAACGGTAACAGGGAAACGTCAGCATATCAGGAAACTGAAAAAGGAATATTAATGTAACCCTTCAAACTGCCAAACAAAATCTTTTTACAGAGCAAGCTTCTTCAAGAATTAGAATTTCCATGTCAAATTAAATAGGGATGGATAAGGATGATAAGGAAAAGAAGGAAGATCAGAAGAAAAGATAATTGGAGGAGGAAATGACAGAGGATGAATAGTAGAAAGAGGAGAGAGCAGAAAAAGGATTAGCAAGACTGGACAAGCAAAAGAAGGACCAAAAAGAGAAGAAAGAAGAGGAAGGAGGAAGACCAAGATGAGTAAAAGGAAGGAAAAAGAAGAACAGGGAAGAGGAGGAGGAGGAAGAGCAGAGGTGAAATGAAAAGGATGAAGAGAAGGAAGAGGAGGAGGAGGATGGTAAGGAGGAGACGAGAGAGAGGAGATCAACGATGAAGACGACGATGATGATGATGATGATACTATAAGGGATACACTACTTTTACATTGAGCTGCTAAAATGTACACTAAAAATTCTAACCAGGTAAGATATTCCTTGTAACTTTGCAGGTTTTATCATAAGCAATTCTCTCCATCATCTATATTATAAACTGTTATCAAGTTTTGAGCGAGCACCCAACAACAAGACACACCCATTTAGTTATATGAAAGAGATGCCATTTGCATAATACAAAAAGTTCCCATAATTCAAAAATATAATAAAAGCAGTTGGAGAAGAGTAACCTTTATAATGGTTACTACATCTTTTTGTTGGCGGCATTGCAAAAATGGCACAGAACACAACCCTTCTCTTCGCCATAAGTCGACAACCAGTCGAGAGCCGTGATTACCTTAGGACAATTCGGTAGTGGTTTCCAAATTGAAGATTCAACCGCTGTGGTTTTTCACGGAAGTGAAAATTACCAATGTGTATCGACCGTAAATTCTTTGTTGCCAGCCAAAGTCTTTGTGGAGCGACCTGAATAAAAAAGAACAAAGAGTTAAAAACAACACAAATTTGACTTATCATATATTATTATCGAGAGGTTAATACAGTACAGGAAGTATTCAGACAAAAGAATAAGATGCCTGCATATAATGTTGAACAATATGCAAGGACCTCTTTAAAATGGTTTGCAGAAAACAATCTAAAAGTATGTACTTACAGATGCACGCATGTTTATATATATATGTATACATATAGGAATATTATGGTTAAATATGACCGCATTGCTGGTGTTGTTGATCATATAGTACAAGCTTTCTATGCTTCTAACTATTTTCTTAACACTTTTGCATTCACGGGACGTAGTTGACATCCACAAATAACTCTGCAGATGTCCGACTGGGATGTATGTGGTGTCCAAAGTTAAAATATTTGTTAAAATTCTATTTTTTTATCCGATCATTATGAGACGTATTTTAAACTTTGCGCCAACGTCTTCTCATTTTTTGTTATGGCCCATGTGGCATCAAGGCACTGCTGCATTTCATCGTAGGCTTATTGTTATTGTCTGAAACCTTGTGAGTGCTGTGGCCTCCCTTCGTGTCCAACACGTGTGCCTGTTCCAGCTATTTTTCCTCAGCTATATTTGTTACTGTCTTTATACACTCTACATTTACTCCAAGATCCAAGATGGATAGTGATCAAGAACAGTGCCATTCCAGGAAGAAAGCTGTGAAAGAAACTCATCTGAGGGAGAAGCTAAGTAGTGTTTGCCAAAGTACAAAAAGAACGACACTCACATCAACAAAATTCAAGGCTTTAGTTGATGAATTTTTTTTATCTTGATCTTGAAAGTGAGTGATGTAGATAGTGAGGTGATTAAACTGGATGAAATTGAACATGAGGGGAGTGATAATTCTGATGTTGATACCACCACAGCTACATATGCAGGGCCTGCTATTAGAACTCGTACCACACATACCCCATGCACCAGTTCTGGTGAAGCCTTGTCTACTGACAACACTACACCACTTGTAGACCGTTTTACTGGAACACCAGGCTTGACTGTCCCAGTACCAAGTGTAACACTATAAAGGTGTTTTGTTTAGTTTTGGGTTTAATATATACATAGAGATAAAAGAGTCACAGACAAGGTTTTGAGAGGCGCCATTCTGTCGGCCTGAAACTCACACCTCTAAGCGTTAATGACCTCAAGTTAACCTGAGGTCAGCTCACGCGAATTTCACCTTGCTTCCAGCCACTGAAATAGGCTGTCGGCCGGACGGGGGGGTGACGTTGCCTGTCAACTGCAGACCTGCCCCCTCCCCCTCTCTATTCAACTTAGACTCAGTCTTCGGTGAGTGAACCGTGAAGGTGACTTAGTCATGTTTACTAGTGTTGTGTGATGATCAGGGGGCAGACAGTTGTAGTGGCCTCAAATTCTTGGGTAATGACTCACTTTGTATATTAATAGTGAACCTTCAGTTTGATTGCTTGAATTATGATATCTATCCTGATAAATATACCTGATGAATAATTGAGAAATATATACAGTGGCACTTCGACTTACAATTGCCCGGACTTACGATAATTTCGAGTTACGATGGTGTCATCAACTAACGATATTTGTTGGTACACGTTCGGGTCGACCGTGGACAGGTCCACGCGCAACAGGAAGGGACCGGTCCCAAATCTGCACAGTAAAATAACAACGTACTGGAGTGAACGACATGGAAGAAAATGCAGAATAGAACCAGTGAAGAGCAGAGGTGCCATGGGCACAATCAGAGAACACCTTATGAACATCAGAGGTCCACGGTTGTTCAACGTCCTACCAGCGAGCATCAGAAATATTACAGGAGGAACAACCGTGGACATCTTCAAGAGGAAACTAGATTGTTTCCTTCAAGGAGTGCCGGACCAACCAGGCTGTGGAGTGTATGTGGGCCTGCGGGCCGCTCCAAGCAACAGCCTGGTGGACCAAACTCTCACAAGTCAAGTCTGGCCTCGGGCCGGGCTTGGGGAGTAGAAGAACTCCCAGAACCCCATCAACCAGGTATCAACCAGGTGGTTCCCGGTCACGCTGCCATCTCCCCATTTCAACAATCACTAGTCCAGAGTCTAAAAACCAAGAGATGTACTGGGAAGGGAGGGAGGGGTCTAGGGCAAAGACTTTAAACTTTTTAAAATCATGGTACAACAACAAGCACTGAAGTACTCAAGGCACACTTCTTAATTTCTGCCAGTACCAGTGAGAATACTTTCCTGAAATGTCAGTTCATTTGTTTAAATGAACGGGTAGAAAATTTGCTTCTTCCTTCAAACTCCCATGGCACCCCTGTGGGCCCTTTACAGCACACATTGAAAAACACTTATCTTGAGAGTAACTGAGGCACCCCCCCCCCATCCCAGAAAAGAGGCATTTCATGACAGTGCTAATTAAAAAAAATGGCCAACCCTTATCTAGAATATCTGGAACCCAAAGAGTCGGCAATTCATTGAGCTCTCATGGTGCTGCCACCTGGCAGTGGTCAGCTGTTACCAGGGGTTTATGACCTAACTACTGGGCTGGGATGATCATTTGCTGCATTGTTTGTTTACTTTGTGAAACTTGCCAGCCCATTCTCCAAACAAAGACCCAAAGTCCATTCCATGCACCTGCCAAACCCCCTGTTTATGAATGAAAATGGTTTACACACACGACTCACAACTGATGACGTTCGAACACAACCGGAGCAAGTGCTTCACTGACAAATTTTGTTCAAACCACAACACGTCTTTGAGGTTGACCGCTGGATGGAATGAACTTGGTCTGAGGACGAATTCCTGAGAGAAGGTAATCACAAATCTCCTTGCTTCCTGTGCCTCTATGAGGGGACCAGGTTTTGATTCACAAGGGCTGATGGTAGTGTGGAGCTACCTCAGTGTGGCTGACTAAAGATAAGCACTACATGGCATAGATAATAAGAAAAAACTTGAACTCTATTGACTTACCTCTTTAATAGAAACAAGCTGACTGGTTTTAGCCCTCTTGTCTTTTGTTCCAGCATATGTAAAATTGCTAGGTTTTACCCTGAAATTGGGACAAATTATAATTGCATGAATAGCTCCTACTTTAAATAATACAAAAAACTTGTATATTATTTCATAATTAAATGAACAAAAATATCTTCCCTAGATTCACTAATGTTGTGAAACAGTATCACCAATATATTCTCGCATGTGTTTCAAATAAAACTAATCTCCATACAGCAATGAGAAAAATGAGCTTGGATACACTGATAATTTACTAAGCTAAATTTATAAATAAACAAAAAATTATGAATGTTATATTAGAAATATACAGTCATTCGTATGTCTAAGTAACAGTCTCAAGCATTTTACAGATACTGGTTTGAAGGAAAAAGATTAAAATTGAAATGATGAAGAAAGCACAGGAAGGGGGAGGGGAGGGGAACAACGAAACTGAACGTTGAATGTAATGTAATGCCTCTTTCTTTGGACGAGCCACAGTGGTTCCTTGAAGTTATCTTGCTGAAATTGCTACATACTAAAAGGTCTAATCAGTCATATATGTTCTGGCTGGCCTCCTAGGGACCAAAGCCAGAACCTGGCCCCCTCTCACAGTAACAATCTGTAACTCCCACCAGAAAAGATTCTAGAAAATCAGTGAAGCATTACAGTGAACTAGAGTGTTTACAGAAAATGAAGATTTGAAACCACTAAAAGACTCTACAAACAATTCACAAAGAACAAGAGATTCACTCAAATTAGCTTGAAACTCAGCTAGCATCATTACCACCTTCTTGAAGAGACAGAGCCACGAAAAAATGACCTGATTCGGACACCGAGCAAGTGGCACTAAAAAGTAAGCCTGGGCTGGCCACTGAGCCAGAAGATCAAATTCCCCTCAAAGCACTCGACTGCACCAGAACCCGGAGCAACAGCTGGACTGGAGGGAAGAGTAGAGAAACCCCCACCTTGAACAATCCAACCAAAAGGCTTCCACAGTGAGAGCATCACAGTCAGGAAATGACGCCAAATAAAGGGGAAAAAGAGACATGTACCAGCAGCAGCGAATGGAGGTGCCCGGATGTACCTGTGCCAGTACAAACTCCGAAGCCAAATTCTGCCTAAAGGATAAACAAGGAGGGCAAAATTGAGGGTTTCTAATAGCTCCTTGAGCAACCGCCAAGTCCCTTGGGGCCAACTCAACACCACTGGAGTTGTTGTTGAGTTGGTCGCTGGGGGCAGGAACAGTGATGGTGACCGAGTGTCCCAAAAGAGGCCTGGGGGACCTGACGCCTGAGTGGACAGCACTCGGGATTCATAGTCCTAAGGTTCCGCGTTCAATCCCGGCGGAGGTGGAAACAAATGGACAGTTTCTTTCACCCTGATGCAACTGTTCACCTAGCAGTAAATAGATACCTGGGAGTTAAACAGCTGCTATGGGCTACTTCCTGAGGATGTGTTACACCACGACATGGTAAAAAAATTGCAACCAGGAGTGCTACTGCCCTCAGACAGATACCACAGCCTCTCCGAGACACAAACCGGGGTTTTACACAATTCCCCCATGTACCCAGGCTCTGTCACATCACGGCTCTTGTGGATTTGCTCATTTGATGAATCACGATATTGTGATTTGTGTGTGTACCTCAGTGTGGTGATCCAGAGGGGAAATGCCTGCTTCATCCTCAGTTCCTGTCCGGAAGTGGAGGAGCGTCTGGCTCTGTGTGTTTGGTATGCCAGAGAACTCTGCAACTGAGGGCACCTACATCAGAGATGGTAGCTTCAGGGAGCTACAAGGGGCTCCCCCCAGTAACATTCTGAGATCCATCTCCAAGGCATCAAAGTCAGTGCAAGCAAGAAAACTATTCCCGCAAAGTGACAGCTGCCAGATAAGTCCTATCCCGAAAAGGGGGCCAGTCAAACCAGAACCCAACATGATGATGTTGGCATCTGTGTGGATGTTATCCTCCACCCAACAGCAGCATAATAGAGGCAGAGGGAATGACTGTGGGCATGACCCAAAACTGAGGTATATCACTGAAACTTTTAAACAGCAAGAGCAAGCTTGGGGGGCTGGTCCACAGCTAAACCACACCAGAAACCTGCAATGACTTGTTAGATTTGGCAGGAATAAACACTGAACCAGGAACACCAGGCATGGGGGGCAGGGTAGGTTCTCACCTTTGTAAACAAACACCAAACCCAGATTAGGAAAAGATGCAACAGGGAAGGGCATAAGCAGCACACAACAAATCTAGTATGTAAACATCCACATGCCCTCAGACAAAGTAGAGCACCATCTGCCTCAACTTCAGAGCCACATAAGAGGGATCAAAAACTCATGCACTAATCAGAAGCAGACCCCACAAAAGTAGGCAGTCCCAAAGGGACAGACACCTGAACCACTCAGGAAAGGAACCCAGGCCAGGCAGGGGCAATGCCAGTGAATGCCTAGGAAAGGCTACCCAAACACATGCAGCTTAAAGTGACCAGGTGGCTCAAGGCTCGCTTGACAGTGAGACCGACCGACCGACTGTCAGTCTAAAACTGTAACAAACACAAGCACAGGCCCTTGCCTGACTACAAAATATAGCCATGACATATTTGAAAAGAGAAAGACAGAAACCCGAAGTATGTGATACAGAGATCAGCACAAGGCACATGATTAATTAGATTTCCCTGGTTGTACCTTGGTATGCCAGGGCTGCTATCTGGCTGTGAGAGTGTAACTACTTGTGCTAATGACCTAACTACCCTGTTCTGCATTGTCTGTTTTGTTTAGACTTTCTTTACAGTTGTTTTTATTGTGCTCCACCTTCGTGGTGGTATTTCCTCTTTGCCTGGGTTGGTGTAATATCCCTAGCCTCCTAATGTCTCTTCAAGGTGCCAATAGACTAGTTTATTAAAAGTTGTTCAATGTCAACCAATATTTTTTGACTAGTTGTATATGAAAAGGGATTGTTCCAAGCAATTGTTCCAAGTTTCAGTACTGCAGCCTAAATAGAAAGGGAGATTTTTTTTTTCAATGAATATTACACAATTTGTGTATATACTACCACACATTTCAGTGTGGTAGTATATACACAAATTGTACTGTGCTAAAGACCAGTACTGTCTTTAGCACGCTTATGCTTAATTGAATTCCGGGAAGGCTATTGACCATTGAAGAATATTCCACATTTCAGTTCTGACAAATTAGTTAGTCGTTTTAGCAGTATGTTTGGGGGGTCATTATCCTGCAGGGGAGAATTGGTGTTCAAAGAGTTTTTAAGCATTTGGTTGGATCTGTGCAGATACAATGTATCTGAATACTTCAAAATTAATCTTGCTGCCATCAATAGAAGTCACATTGCAAATAAAGGCAAGTAAACCAATTCCAGTAGGCGCCACATATGGCCAAGAAATAATGCAACCTCCAGGTTTCACAAATGAGGTGGTATGCTTTGGATCATGAGTGACATATCTGCTGCTCATTCCTTTCTTTCCATCACTGGTATATGTTACTCTTTCATCTTATCTGTGCATAAGTTTGTCCCACAACTACAGGTTTTTGTCATGTACTTTCCAGCAAAGGTCTGTTTTCCAGTCATTTGCATCTTATGGTGAACCCTTTTAATTTATGCTGGTGTTCCCTTCCCTTTATGGTAGTCTTTGATACATACATGCCAATATCATGAGGAGTTTTCTTGATCTCTCAGACAGTTAAAAGGGGGAGTGGTCTTCCATGATTTATCAGATTATTTGCTATTGCAAAGCTGAAGACAGCAACCTTGCTTCATAATGTAACCAATAGTTGATTTTAACACTGTGATCAATTTATTCAATGAGAGACGACAGCAACAAACTCCAAATGCTAATGACACTAAACCTAGAATCAACTCAAGACCTTTAGTTACCTCTCCTCTTTCGTTAGATGCAACTACTGTACAGACAACTGGCCACGAAACAGATGAGCAGCAGGGTGTCCAATTACTTTTGGTCCTTTACAATGGGGAGTATGCCATATAAAAAACCAGCATTGAATGTAATGAAAAGCCATTTTCTGGGCGAGTCCTGGAGACTCCCCGGAGCTATCCAGGCTGAATGGATATGTATAACTTTCTGGCATCAATCACTGCAAGGAGTTCTTGCCTACCGGGGACCACGAGCCAGAACCTGGCACCTTCTAGAGAGGCATGAGGAGCAATGGCCTATAGAGACCCCCCCTTTTATTATTGGGAGCGTTCTATGTCTGCCATCGACCCGGATAGGCAACCAGAAAGGTAGGCACCCCAAAACAAACCCCTATTCTGGTAAAACTATTGGGACCGAAGACCAAACAAATGGACATAACTCTCCAAATGAAAACTAGTAAACGAGCATGACGTTATCACATTGCCGCGCCTCTGTCTGCACGGGGAGAGGAGCAGCCCCAGACCTATCCGCCGGCGACCCATTCTACAGTTCTTAGGCTGGATGTCAAAAAAGTGAAAAACACCGCCAACTAGAGAGAGGGAAACCGGGGAGCCTCTGGGAAACACCTGGAAAATGGCATTTCATTACGTTCAACACTGGTTTTCGGGGGAGGGGGGGGGGGGGGGGGGGGGGGGGGGGGGAGGAGGGGGAGGAGGGGGAGGAGGGGGAGGAGGGGGGGAGGAGGGGAGGGGAGGGGGGGAGGGGGGGGGGGGGGAGGGGGGAGGGGGGGAAGGGGGGGGGAAGGGGGGGAGGGGGAAGGGGGGGAGGGGGGGGAAGGGGGGGAAGGGGGGGAAGGGGGGAGGGGGTAGGAGGAGGAGCCCCGTCGGCTCCCAGAGCTAACTACCCAAAGTTAAGGAAAAATGGGGACTTACCCAGGAGGCGGTCCGTCCTCACTCCTCGATGCGAAGTTCAGACAACTGGCTGCAACCGCCGACCCAATGCAACGCAGGCCCGCCTAGGCCCAGGAACATTCAATAGGTAGCAAGCGGCCAGGACCCTGTTCGACCGCCAAAAACCCCGGGCCCGAATGTCCACCTAAGACATGTTGCCAAAGACGGCAGCCAAGGCAGCAAACTTACAAATGTCATGGGCCCAGGGATAGACCGC